GATTCTTTCTGGAAATATTCTCATGATGGAATACTCTGGTTGGTCACATTTTCTTAATTTAAAAAATCCATAAAACTCTCTACCATTAGCTTCTATTTCTAGTGAAACGAAAATACTCATATTTTTATAACTGTCTTGCATTTTTTCCATAACTTGGTTTCTTTCTTTCACATAAAAAGTTTTTCTAATAATTCCAAAAGCTTTAATGTCTTCCACTCTCCAAGATTTACATGCAAAATCTCTCCTCCATAGAGACTTTCTTGCTTTATTTACAGCAGACATTCTCCCTCTCAGAACCAGACAGTCCACGAGGGTAGCAGGTTTAATCTACAGACCAGGTGTCTATGTTAATATGGCTGTCTGCTGCCGCCCATGATGGGTTTCTAATAGGTAATCCCTTTTGTACCCTAAACATGACCTGTACGGCTCTCTGTGAACCGACCCTTGATAACGTCTGAAGGCCCTCATCTCCCGCATTGGACCTTACTGGTTTCACCCAGAACTTCCTGACAGGAGCCTTCACATTTTATGTTGGAATTAGACACCTTTGTCCCCTTGTGCTGAGCCATTGTCCATGCTGCTAAACTGTCTGCTGAAGTGTCATTTCCATGTACGCAAATAAGAGAAAATGGATGATGACTCAGTTCAGGCAGTGCCTTCAGATTAGTTGATGGTTTTCAGTGATAACGGGGATGAACACTTTGGAAGCAGCAACAAAAAACAAGGAAGACATCTACCCACCTTGAAGTCCTGCGGCAGGTGGCTTCTGGGAGAGAAAACAGCCATCCTTTGATAGAGCTGCATTGAAATCTGTGTGCCCAGGGGATGGCCCAAAAAAGAAGTGAAGGGAATTTGCAGAAAGTTTGTGTGAAAGGAGGTAGTGGACTGAGTGTAGACCAGACATTCCCTGGAGAGCAACAGGAGAGTCGGGAGTCACAGGGGAGGAGGGAGATGGAGTCTGTTTCAGCAATGGTTGAATAATGTAAGATTAAAAACAAGCTTTTGTTAAGATAGCACCAAAAAAATGCTTCCCTGAGACCTTCCCCATCACTTCCCCTTTTCCTAGAATATTTTATTCCCAGTCTTAAGGACTTGACAACATAGTGTCTATGAAGGGATTATTACTCATTTTTTTGAAATGGCCTGTTCCTTACACTAGAAAGAGGAACTATGGCACCTTACTCGGTGGGCCCGTTTGTTGCTATTTTGAGAGACTCTTGGGTGTTTGTGAAGTCAATGAAAGGATCTCCTTCTCCCCCAGACTGCATTTTACAGAGCAACAGACAAACGATAAACTAACTTTATCTAAATAATGCGGCTTAAATTCACATTTGACAGATTAATGAGTCAAAGAAATTATTGCCAATTGAATGATCACCAATTAATTCATTGTTTTTATAAATTTTAATGTGGACCGACACATGGTGTAATGGCTACTTTGCTGAACTCCTATGCAGTTGAGCATGTTTCAAGTCCTGGATGCAGCGTATTAATATGCCAGGCATGTGTGTGTGTGCATGTCCAAGATCCCAAGAAGAGAATGAAGGAGAAGCATTTGAAGCATGACCATCCCCCTTGGGGGGGGGATTTCTCACTTTCTTTCTCTCTCTTTCTCTCTAGATAGTGCATTTCCACTATAGCAAAAGTCTCTAAAAAAATTATGAACTGTTATTTACAATCAATGTATATCTCTACAGCACACAGCACATATTTCAAGGGGGCGTGTAGTATACAACAATAAAATCAAGAATATTACCATAGAAATTCTTTTATTTTTTTAAGAGAGATTTTTACTATAGGGTGTGTATGCTTACCAGAGAGACAGAGAGATACAGAGACAGACAGCAAGAACTCATCCCATAGGGGAGATGACCATGTTGGAATCCCTTCTCCTCCATTCTCCTCTCGGAATTTTGGGCTCTCATGCACACATTCCTGATGCGAGTTTTAAGCCACCAGGTCCAGGACTTGAACTGTAACAGACCACATTGGAGTCCAGAGACATAACCATTATGCCATCTGCTGGTCCCTATCATAAGTATTATTTTCAACAGAGAACTTTGTACAGTCTACCTCGGAAGTTTTTTCCTTAATTATTACAACAGTTAACATTTTGGACTATTTTTTATGCTTGGCAAAATTTAAGTATCTTAACATTTATTACCATATAATGATTTCATTTAGTCTTCAAGCAAGAATATTGAGGCCACAGAGAATAGGCAACATTCCCATGGTTATGTAGCTTAATCGAAACTTGAAGTCCAAAGGTCCTGGTGTCAGCTCTCACGTTCTAGAGGAACACATTCTTTCTTTCACCCAATGTAGGGACTCCATTTGGGAACATTTTGTTCTTTTGGAAAGCTTTAGGAAACTCAGTCTCAAGTGGTAAGCAGCATCAGGTGTCGCACTGACCTGTCTTGGGAGAAGCTGCCATGCAGGGGGTGCCTGATGGGCCCTGGCTTGGCCCCTGGATCACCACTTAGAGCTCAGACGTTCACGTTTCTGCTCTAGAGGTCAAGGCAGATAAACCCTAGGAGGGCTGAGTGCAGAAAATCGAAATGCCAGTAAAATCGAATTTAGGAGAACAAAAATGAAAAAATACTTTTTCACTTATTAGTTCCATGCAGATTATTATTGACTGTCAAGATATTTTATTTTCAAAGAAAATAACCTATCTAAACACTCTGCTAACATCAGTATGTATTTTGAAAGAACATACTACTTTGTATTATGCTAAATAAGAGAGAATAATTAAAATATTTATCTCATTCCTGGGAAAGATTCCAATCCTGCTAGCCTATACTTTGGTCATAACGAATGAGTCAGGAAGGAGCTAGTAATTGTGTAGGGGATAAAGTGTTAAAGAAAGGCTCTGTCCGAGTGATGGTCTTCCAAGATGGCTTGTTTGAGCTCTTCCAGTCTTAAAATTTGTTCACTATATGACTTTGGACAAATATAGGAACTCTCTAACTTTAGGTTTAGTCAACTCATGTAAAAGAGGTGCTGTTGTGGAGTGCCACCAAAGCCAGAGTAAGGTGAAAGGGAGTCTTCATTAGCTGGCCAGCGACTGGGGAGTGGGGCGCCGAGAGTCAGAACTGCAGCCCCGACCGACGTTTGAGCAGTCTTTATATAGGGGTCAGTTACCAGGGGTTTCTGTGCAAGCACTTACAGAAGCTGAATCAAGCAGGTTAAGTATTTCTTAGGGGAGCGGCGTTTCCACGCAAGCAGTTCCATTGCTAAACAAAAGGGTTTTGGGCTACTTAGCAAAGACGGTGCAGGTCCAGGGTGTCGTCACGGATACGGTTTTCTGTACGGCTAGCACGAGCTATCTTCACATGGGAAGAGCAAGCAGGGTTACAGAAGCAGACAGCCGTGTTAGGGTAAGGGGACAAAAGGGACCAACAGTTGTTCATGTGCAAGATCTAATATGCGGCTTTCTACAGTGCCATATTTCCTCTTCTATGGGATTACTTACAGATTTTCTGCTTTTTTTTTTAATTTTCCAGAGGACAAATGTGCTCACCAGAGAGAGACAGAGAGAGCAAGAGAGACAGAAAGGGAGAAATTACCACCATGGGGGCACGGTCACACTAAAATCCCTTCTCCTCCACTTTCTCAACCTTTCTCTGGATTTGGGGCACACATACACATGTGCCTGGTATGTTTCTCAAGCTGCCAGGTCAGGACTGGAACCATGGTGTCTGCCATGTAAGATTCAGCCTTACCTGCCAGGCTACAATAGCCCATGGTGTTTACTTTATGCAATGAATAAAGAGCACCAGAGTTGTTAAACAGATATTTAATTCCCCCTCTCCTTTACAAATTCTCTAGCAGAAATTCTTGCCTTCTGATTTGGTGCACAGTAATGAGAGGTTAAAAAAATAATAATAAAAATGTTTTTGGGCAACAATGGTTTTTTTAAGTCTGAGATAATTTTACAGTGTTGTACTGCATGACAAAACATAAGCATTCAACTGACTGAAGTGTAGTTCTACCAATGAATTGGGAACTAAGAAATCTGAGTTACATTCAATAGTTATACTAGAAACTGCGAAAACCAATACACAAAGGATTATTTCAATTTATATTCACACAGGGAGTAATGATTAGACATAGTTAATAAAATAAAAGAAAAAAACAGAATCAAATGCTGATAATGTTGAATCAATTAAATAAATAGAGGAATAATGGCAATATTAATAGTAACTGTATAAATAGTGTTGATAGCTGTGATGATATTCATTGTAGGATTATTTGTGGTTCTGCACTGCACAAGAGTTTATTTGCGTGATTTTACTCTGGCAGATCCATGAAACCGGCACTCAATGTATAGCAGCTGCATTTTCTTAAAGAAACTTTCATAAATCCAACAAAGAAAGCAGCAAAGAAAAACCAAAATTTAAAAAAATCAGAAAACAAGAAAATATACATAGATGTTACACAACTGTCAAATATGTTTTCCAAAAAATATTGTCATGTTCACACTTCTAAATCCGCTGTATTCCTTCAGATTCGTACATTTCTATATATTTGAGACACAAGTTCTCTTTTACTCATCTGTTTTGCAGGTTATACAGTACTGAGATCCTTGATTTTATTCCTAAAAATCAGAAGAAAGTGCCCGTGACATTGTCACCCAGAGAGTTAAAGCATTACAACATTGTAGAGTGAATGAATAAACAAGTGGATTAATCACTTTTCTCTATGTTAATTTTGATCACTATACTGATTATCTTGACAACAAATATTTAGGTAGATTTTACTCACTATACACTGCATTTCACAGTTAAAGAGAGCAGTTCAAATATCAATGCCAGAGGAACTTGAGTGGACAAGGATGAGGTCCATTGCTTTAGAGCTGGAAAGAGCTTCATAAGCACAATGTTAACCTGGGCTCTATACAAACAAATCCTCTTTACAACATCCCATGAAGTATTTAAAATGACCTTTTTCACATTTTGAAGGAGTTCCTGACGTTGTATTTTATGTACCAACGTCCCTCAACCCAGCAGTCTCTTCATGGCACCGAGGACCTCCTTGTTTCGCAGGCTGTAAATAAATGGGTTCAGAAGAGGTGTGACAATGGTGTAAAACACTGCCAAGATGTTATCCTGGTCCGGGGAGTGCAAGTAATGAGGCCGTGTGTAGGTAGAGAGAGTGGTTGTATAGAACAGGCTTGCCACAACCAGGTGGGAGGAACAAGTGGAAACAGCCTTTGTTTGTCCTTTATTTGAGCTCATCTGAAAAACAACAGTCAGCACACGGGCGTAGGAAGCTAGGATGGCCACGAATGGCAGCAGCAGAATAATAAGTCCACTCAAGAGGACCGTGTACTCGTACTGGGAAGTGTCCTGACACACCAATGGCATTAGGGATGGAACTTCACAGAAGAAGTGTTTGATGAGCCGAGACCTACAGAATGGAAGCTGAAATACATACAAGGTATGCACTAAAGCGTTGACAGAACCACTGCTCCATGCGCACATGACCATCAACCAACAGGTCTTCTTGGTCATCAGCACAGGATAACGCAGTGGATGGCAGATTGCTACATATCGATCGTAAGACATAAAACCAAGAAGAAGGGCTTCTGTTGCACCGAGGGTCAAAAACACAAATGTTTGAACCGCACAACCCAAAAAACTAATGGTCTTACTGTTGGAGAGAAAGTTGGTCTCCATCTTGGGCACCGTGGTGGAGATGTACATCATATCGATGGCAGAGAGCTGACTGAGGAGGAAGTACATGGGCGTGTGCAATCTGGTGTCCACTCGGATGAGGTGAACCAATATGATGTTCCCCATCAGAGCCACCAAAAAGAGGATGGCAATGACAACGAAGAGAAGAGTGTTCATTCGGCCATGCTGGAAAAGGTCAAGGAGCGTGAACTCAGTCCCCAAACTTTGATTCCCTGTTCCCATGGCAAAGTCAACAGGTGAAAGAACATATCTGAAATGATCATGTAATAATATTGACAACCCTATAAGAGAAAGTAAAGTAACAATTACTAAATACAATAGAATTTTCCAGTATCACCTTATAACTTCCTCTTATTGAATACATTGAATCTGTGCCTATTACAAATTGTACAGATCGTGAAATTAAGAATTTTTACAGATCGCACAATGAAAACAAAAAATGAAAATAAAAGAATCTTTATATAATTTTTGAGCACAAATTATGTGTCTCCTTGTAAATATCTCCAAGATGATAGACTGTAACTCTGTTCATTTGTTATGAAAAAATTCTCTCAATTTTTTTCATGTAAGTGGCCAATTTAAAAAGGCAGTGCTCATACAATATAGGGTAATTATAAATTATTATTTCATTTCTCCATTGTATTGGTTAAATAGGAATAAATGCTATCGCAACATTTGTATGGAAATTGTATCCTAGCCTTTATGAATTAATCAGCATTATTTCTTTTGTATTTGCAAACATTTTTAAATTATCTTCTTAATTGATCTAAACATTTTTTCTAGGTTCTTGTTAAAATGTATTTTTTTCTGCATATCATTTTTTGAATAGTAAATACTGATACGTCTGAAGAATAATCCCCATATGAAATGATCTCTCCAATAATGTGGAATTTGAGGCTGTTTTCTTTCTTTTTTCTTTTTGACACAAGATAGAGAAAGACAGAGCAGTTAAAAGAGGTGGAATCTAAGAGAGAAAGAGAGAGAGCATGGCCAATTTATTTCCGTTAATGGGATCCTCTCCCCCAGCTCCCATTCACTGAGATCTCAGATGGGCCCAGGACGTCAGCCTGCACAGTCACCTGGTGTGTGGTCAGGACTGTTCACCTGACAGATGGAGGAGATGGGCTGAGCAGAGGCACCTACAGACATCCCAGGCTTCTTATTCTGAAAGAAATCCCCACCATCCCCCTTCTGGCCCAATGTCCAAGGTGACTTCCTTTATTGAGAAGAAGTTCTGATTAAAAGTGAAATAAAAGGACCAGCAGATGGCATGATGGTTATGTTATGGGACTACCATGTACTCAACAGCAAGTTCAAGTCCTGGACCCGGTGACTTAAAACTCATGCAGGTGCGTGTGCGTGCTTGCCCAAAATGCCAAGAGAAGACTGGAAGAGAAGGGATTGCAGTGTGGTCACCCCTTGGAGGGTGATTTCTCGCTTTCTGTCTCTCTGTCTCTCTCTGTCTCACTGGCGAGTGCACCCACCCAATAGCAAACATCTATCTGAAAAAAGTGAAATAAATACATGAATTGAAATGTATTACGGTAATATAGTAACAAACTGTAATTCTCAATCCCAAAGTTACATAACTTGTGTCACTACATTAGGGCATGGCTTGAGCCTTCAGTGTGAGTTCAACAATTTAAAGTAGCATTTATGGAGTAAGTGCCACAAACAAATCTTTCAATGAGGAAAGAGAAGCAATATTCACATTCTAGACCAACGTGGATTTCAGAACTAGCTTATTATGATGAGACTCTAAATTGAAAGCCACATGTTTTATAAAACAACTTTATCAAACATGCAATTTGACTTGTAGTTTCTTTCATCAAAATGTGATGAACAAAATCATCTACAAATATTTTTGCATCATTGATGTCTATACTTACCTGCATTTTGAATTGTTTTGTTTAAATATTCTTATCATAGACTTATTTATAAGACATTAGTAACTAATTGCAGGAGATGGCAACTAGAGAAATGCATAAAATAGAGGCCCTGTATGAAAATATGTTTCCTCTTTCATATCATAAAACAATAATAAATGAAATACATTTTTACCATGCAAATATGAATAACTACCACATATAGGGAGCCATACAAATTACAAGATATTTTATTTTGTTACAACTGAATATAAACCTCATTAGAAATCTGTGTTTTTGAAATACTTTACAAACTTTTGTTGTTCTAAAATCATTAACAACTGTAACTATGGGCTAAGCATGACCTGACATTTTGAGGGGAAGATAAGGAAGAAAGACACGTCTTCTACCTCAGTCAGGAATAATGATACTTTGGGATTCCACTCTCTCAGGTAAAGAACACAGTCTACCACCAAACGCTAGCCCTGCTTTTCTGTGCTGTTTGTACATTTGACCTTATAACCCTCAGATTATTTAAATCTAACATAAAACTACATAAATCTCCAAGGCACACTCTGGTACTCTTCTCAGAGCTGTCATTTAAGTAAA